TAGCACGTATTCCAAACAAGAACCCACCAAAAATGTATGAGAAACACCACGTTCCTGAAATACAGCCCTTAGCAGTGCACTGAAACGGAGCAGGGCGAGGCAGAAAATACAGAATGCCTGCAGTTTTGGGGGATTCACTGAAAAAGAAAAAGGACAGTACTTTTTCTCCAGAATGCCTCTCTTACAGCGGCTTAGAGAAACAGTGACTGCTTTCTTGCTACCAGACAGCTAAATTGTGGACCAGCATCACCAGACTGAACCTACGGAACAAGATCTGGGTCAGTGTTTCTCAATCTCAGCAGCTTTAAGATGTGTGGACTTCAACTCCCAGAATTCCCCAGCCAGCCATGGGAGTTGAAGTCCACTCATCTTGAAGTGGCCAAGTTTGGACAACACAAAACATTGGTCTAGACCAGTGTTGTCCAAACTTGGCCACTTCAAGATGAGTGGACTTCAACTCCCAGGGACCAGCATCACCAGACTGAACCTACGGAACAAGATCTGGGTCAGTGTTTCTCAATCTCAGCAGCTTTAAGATGTGTGGACTTCAACTCCCAGAATTCCCCAGCCAGCATGCTGGTCAGGGAATTCTGGGAGTTGAAGTCCACACATCTTAACATGGCCAAGTTTGGACAACACTGGTCTAGATGGAGAAATGCAAAGTCAAATATTTATCAGGTGGGGATCAAACAGGCAGGAGAAACGGTCATTCTGAACCTTGGCTGACTTTCCAAACTGAAAGCACTGCTGGAAAACTGCAGCTACCTTAGCTGATCATTTGGGATCTGGACCTGATCTTTCCAGAGGATTCCACATGGACACAAAACAGTAGCTCTGGACTGCATCTGGGGAAACCAGTGTGAATGCTGTCCTCCTGAAGAGGGCAGGGGGGCCTTGGCTTCAAGGAAACAGCTGTTGCAACAGAGAGAAAGTCTATTCCAGTTGCCTGATTTTCTACTTGCGTGGAACTTGCACCTGGGAGGGCAGACTGACTGCCAACCCACTCTGGTTTCACAATGGTTTGGTCTGTGGCAAATGTGGCCCAGCTGTTTTGGTTTGGCTTCCCTAAAGGTCTTCCTTGCACTTACGTCCCATCGTGCCCTCTCCAAGTAGGACCACGATCATCACCACCATTTTTTAAAGGACAGGCATAGACACCAACTGCCCCATGGGCTAAGATGTCCAGCTTGGTGGTTGAGTGCTCGAATGTGCTTTCGATGTGACCTATTTTGATTCAATGTGATCTTTGCTAAGCACAATGTGGCAGCCTACACATTACCAGCCCTCTTGCCTTAGATCAGTGTTTCTCAGCCTCAGCAACTTTAAGCTGCTGGCTGGGGAATTCTGGGAGCTGAAGTCCACACAGCTTAAAGTTGCTGAGGTTGAGAAGCCCTGCCCTAGATGTTCAACAGTTCAGCCCCTGACTCAATCCAGCTGTGGTGATAGGCTGGTGGGGGTAAGGTGGGGCATGAGCCCTGGCACGTGGCAGCAATTCCTCATCCACTTGGTGATGCTGAGAGATAAATCGAGTTAAGAAAGGGCCCATTTGTTCAGGATGCTGGTCCAGGTATTTGCAGCAGAGAATGACCAGCAACACCTAGGCAAGGAAGGAGACCCATTGAATGGGGAGATGCTAGAAAAGTGAAAGAAGACTTAGGAAGGCCTCAAAATATATTGGCCAACAGGAATGGGAGGGACCTCACAGATGTGCCAATGAGGTCCCACTCAGCGTTCCAAGTAGAGAGCTGAGCAACAAGGCAAGGCAGTTGGTGCCTTGCCCTACTTCATTCCCAAAAGATGTCCCAGGCCATTGTTTCGCCAAGAGCACAGCTTTCTTTGGAAGGTGATCAGGGGCCTCTTAAGAAGGATGACGCCATTCTCCAGAAGAAGATGCGCCAGGGATCCTGCCTCTCCTCCCTGCAGTGGTAAGCATCCTCATTAGACTAGTGCCCCCAAGGGGACAGCCCTTCCCAGGTCCTTCCCAAGGCCAGACCATGCTGGTGTAGAAGGGCCATCCTTAAGCACAGCCTCCTCGTGAAATTACAGCATTCCTCTTCCAATTCCCCAGACAGTATGGAAAATGACATGGAATCCGCAGGTAAAAGATGAGTTCTTCTTGACTTGACCAATCAGCCAGTGCAACGGTTGCCTTAAATGCCTTGGACGTCAACTTCCCTACACTGAGCCATCAAGGCTCAGGATTAGGGGAACTGAAGTCTACCCTAACCAGAGGGCAGCAGGTGGGGAAGGCAGGCCTAGCATATTGTTTTCAGGGTCACAGGCACTAGAATTATTTTTTATTTAAACAAAGAGGGGGCTTGGACCAACCTGTTGAACCCATCACCTCTCAGAGCTTTCCTGTGGGGAAATGGCTTTCTCTTACATAATCTGGACTTATTTTGAAACATCTGCTTTCTGTCCTTTTACTGAAGGGGGAACACAGCCAAACCCACTCAGGTATCTCCTAGGAGAACTAAAACTCCTAATGCCAAAAGAAGCTGGCCGTGAGCACGTATTCCTGAAAGAAAAGAAAGCTGGATGTTGTTGCAATCAGCTTAAATCCCTGGTCACTCCACCAATTGCTCATAAATCTCTTTGTCTATGACTCTTTTTCAGTGCATCAATTCACTCCCTTCTGCTCACAAGAAGCCCCCATGATCCAGTTTTGTCATAGACCAAGAGCAAAACACAGGCTCAGGTACGCGTGGAAAATAAATGTTAAGACTTTTTTACTTAGAGGGGTGTGTGGGACAGGGAATACGATTCAAAGTAAGATCTTTGGGAAATGGTATTTCCTTAAGTAGCCAGCACTTGTTCCTCTCGGAGTGGCGGGTGGGGCGGGGGGAGAAACGCCTTTTTTAAACATTCTTAATCTGGCCCCCAACCGGATGCAATCATTAGAAGGTCCATTTTCTTTTGGGTGTGTAAATCAGCCTCCATAGCGTGTGGCCAGGGGGGCTGAGGGTGGGGGTGAGGGGGTGTCCAGAAAGTCAAGATGGTGGCTGTGATGGCTGGACTGAAGCCCCAACAGGCTCTGTAGTTGCATGTG